CTCTCTCTCTCTCTCTCTCTCTCTCTCTCTCTCTCTCTCTCTCTCTCTCTCTCTCTCTCTCTCTCTCTCTCCCTCTCTCTCTCTCTCTCCTTCCCCCCCCCTCTCTCTCTCTCTCTCTCCTCCCCCCCCTCTCTCTCTCTCTCTTTCTCTCTCTCCCCTCCCCACCTCTCTCTCTCTCTCTCCCCTCCCTCTCTCAACCCCCACCCCGACACCATACACACACAATCTCAGCTACTCACGACGGCCGACGTTGGTCGGAGGGTGTATGATCCATGATGACCTGTGGAGTGGAGAAGGCCTGCTCTATAGGCACAGTGTTGGTGCGGTCCCTGGCTGTGGCCATAAGGTAAGATGTCCTTCTGTGGAGCTTGTTGGCTTGATCCTCCAAGGTTTCTGAACGCAATCACAAGAGAAATAGTTCAGATTCAGAAAAAAATACATTCCTAGCAATCCAGTTTTAGATAAACGTTTCTTAGTAATCCAGTTTTATACAGATTTTTCTTAGAAATCCTGTTTCAGATCAGTCTTTCCAAATAATGTGTGTTTCGCCCTTCAAGCTTTAGGGATTTAGTAAATTATTCCAACTGCTGTATGACAAATGTAAAGAAAATATTCGCTACCCCCCCCCCCCCCCCCCCCCCCGACACACACACACACACACACACACACACACACAAAAATAGAAAAAAATCCACAATGAAATTTAAAAACAAATATCACATACTCGCCAGTGAAAGCTCAAGGTGCTCAAAAGATTCCTCACACAAAATCTTCATAACATACTCTTTGTTCTCCTATTTAAAATTTTTTAAATATTTCTCACAAGACTAAAAATCAGCCCAAAAACACAATGTCTCAGAAAATACAAGAACTCCCTCACCATTCTGTGTTGCTTGAGCGGTACAGTTTTCCTTCATGTTCTCTTTTATGTATGCATTTCAGTCAGCTATCAATCTCCTCCTGTCTTTTATTACTTCAACCTCAATGCTCTCCCCTTAAACTTTGCGCACGCAAGAACGGCTGTCTCCCCCGCCACTTTTTGCAGGGCCCATCCCCCCGTGATAGGCAGATTCACCACTGGCGATTGTCTACGGCTCTCCGGTCCAATTTCTTAAAACAGACGTAAACTCATTACCGTAACCTTGGCGTGAAGATGATAAAGTAGAGAGAGGGAGAGGGAGAGGGAGAGGGAGAGGGAGAGGGAGAGAGAGAGAGAGAGAGAGAGAGAGAGAGAGAGAGAGAGAGAGAGACAGACAGAGAGACAGAGAGACAGAGAGACAGAGAGAAGGGGGGAGGGTGTAGACAGACAGACAGACAGACAGACAGACAGACAGACAGACAGACAGACAGACAGACAGACAGACAGACAGACAGACAGACAGACAGACAGACAGACAGACAGACAGACAGACAGACAGACAGACAGACAGACAGACAGACAGACAGACAAGAGTCAGAGTGCGAGACATGGACAGAGAGAAAGAGAGAGAGACACAGAGAGAGACAGAGAAAGAGAGAAAGAGAGAAAGAAAGAGAGTGAGAGAGAGAGAGAGAGAGAGAGAGAGAGAGAGAGAGAGAGAGAGAGAGCGAGAGACGGACAGGGGGAGAGGAGACAGAGAGGGAGAGGTGGGGAACAGACAAACAGACCGGTCGACTGACGAGAGTCAGTGTCAAAAACAGAGAGAAAGAGAGAGAGAGAGAGAGAGAGAGAGAGAGAGAGAGAGAGATGGAGAGAGAGAGAGGGGGGGAGGGGGAGAGACAAGAAAGAGAGAGGTGGCAAGAACTTCCAAGACTAAAGGGTCTGAGCGATCTTTAAAAAAAAAAGTATATCAAAGTATGTTTCTGCTCGGAACACACCAGAAGACAAGTTGCCTGACACAGCCTGGTCCCAAGTCAATACACAGAGCAGAAAAACCACACTTCATTCATAAAACTTGATTCATGACCCTGTCTCGACTTAACATAATACAAGTTTCTGTGACGTAGATTTCTCCCCTACTACAGACCCAATTATCCCACTACGACTTTCCACTGACATACAAACAGGAAAGGCAGGAAAATAATTAAGATAAACAGATCTGTACTTCTATCATTGACCCCCAACCCCCCTCTCTCCCTCTCTCTCTCTTTCTCTCTCTCTCTTTATCTCTCTGATCACACACACACACACACACACACACACACACACACACACACACACACACACACACACACACACACACACACACACACACACACACAATCAATCAATCACAAACTTACACACACTTTATCCAGACACACACAAACACCCAACAACAGATACATAGAAACCATCAGGTAAAAAGAGAAACTCCCGCTGCTCATGCCCCCCACCTCCTCTCCTCACCACCCATCCTAAACAATAAATCCACATCCCTGACCCTAGACAACAAAGAATCCCCCAAACCACCAACACCATAACCATCCCAAACAGTAAAGCTTAACATCATCATCAGACCCCCCTCCCGGAAAAGTAGGCTTAATATCACTCCCCCCCCCCCCCAAAAAAAAAGAGGACAGCTATACCTGCACACTGTCACTTCCCTCTCCTCCCCCCTAAAAAAATAGTGGGGCTTACCACCATCACCATACTCCCCCCAAATGAAATGAGTCTGTAGAGCTCAAGTGACAGGTCTCCCCCCCCCCCCAAGAAATTTAGATAATATGGAAGATGAACATGACAAATAACGAGAGGTTTACCAGCACACCAAGTAGAAAGGGAGCTCTTACTGGGGGGGGGGGG